TCTTATGTAATGTGAAGATCAAGCTTAAAGCTCTTTTAGGTTGTTCTACAACATGAGTTCAATGATCATGGAGGGAAGTCACAATCTAATATCTGGAGGTGGAGAGGTTAAGGTCTAAAGCTACATGAAACTCATCTGTACTTGAAAAAAAATTACACTTGAGAGACTAAAAGATGGTGTAACCCCCTGCTACCTTTGGGGATGGGAGTAGGAGTCAGAGGTAGAAAGATGGGGGCATTTCATATTTTGTTCTGTATCCTTTCATACTGTATGAATCCTTTACGACAATACCGCATGCATATACTACTTATTTTGTAATTTTAAGAAAAACAAATTAACCTTAACGTGACCCTTGACTTTTTAGAAAGACATACAACTTTGCTCTAAATCCGAAGCAACCAGTTACCCTCTCCCCGACCCTCCCAGCACTAGACCACCAGAAAAAGCACCAGATAAAGTAGTTGACTTGAATTTTGGACCATATTATAAACAATACATACTTCAAGATATTCTAGAATCATATTTAGTGCCATGAAATGTTCCCACTAGAATGCCAACTAAGTATTCTAAGACTTAAGAGTTAAGTGAACTAAGACTACAAATTCACCCTAGCCATCTCAAGCTTTTTAATACACATGCTTATGGTTTATTTATTTATTGGACAAAGTGACTTTTTCTGGTGACTTACTTATTGTCTAGCAGCTCCAGGCCCATATTTTATACCCATTTGCTCTGTGGCACTGGGGCCAGGACTCTGCAAACTACATTTCCCAGGCTTTGTTGCTGGCCAGCTTCCAGTTATATTCTAACAAAGGAAGGTGGGAGGAGGGAAGGGACTTTCTTTCTGTTTCCACCTTCTGTGGGCATTGCCCCAGCATACAAAGGCAGCTGTGCTCTAGCTTCTAGCCCTCTTGACCCATGCACCGATGTGCTGCTCCCTTGGACATCCCAGCACCAGCTGACCACACCCACTGTGGTGCTCCGAGACTGGCTGTACTGGGGACTCTCCCCTGAGCATCTCAATTCTGGGAACCCCATCTTTCCCTTTTTGCTGCCTTAGTCCTAGAAGTGGTAATTGCTCAGTGCATTGCGTTATTGCTCTCTCAACCTTCCCATACCTGTAGAACCAACATTGTATATCAAACTGCCTCTGTTTGAGAGCTGAGCATGGTTTCTATTTTCCTGAATGGGATTCTAACTGGTTCCATGTGGCTACACTCATGTCAATGAAAAAGGCTTAGAGTGTCAGCCAAAGTAGGATGTTGCAGCTTTACAATATGGGGTAGTAGCAAAATTACCCAATGAAACTTAGCCCAATGACGCATGATAGGTATTTCCCTTAAGAACCATGATCCTCAATGCATAGAGAAAGGGAGAAAGAAAGGATGCATGGGTCTCAAGGACAAGGATGGAAGACATTGCATTCTGTGGATGGAGGACCTTGTACTCTGAGTTCGAGCCCCACCCCACCTATCTAAACCTATAGCTGCTTTGCATTAAAGTGTTTATCTTCCAAGCTTTAGTCTTTGTATGTAAATTTATCTTTGTGACAAAAATGCACAAATGTCACCACTCTTACATGGTACTTAGGGTAATCTATTTAAATTTGTGAAGTGACTTTCAGAATGTTTCAAGAAATTGCATAGTAATTATATCTGTCTTGAACAAAATTAAGAAAACCCTTAGCAGATAAAATTTCAGCAAGTTTGGCTATGATTTTAAAGGAAGGTAATAATAATAACTAGATTTAATATTTAGTGAGCCCACTACACTTAGAACTTTACATACATTCTATCAGACAATTTTTAAAAAAGATTTTATTTATTTGAGAAAGAGAGAGAGAGAAAATGAGCAGGGGTGGGGGGAGGCACAGGGAGAGGGAGAAGCAACTCCCTGCTGAGCAGGGAGCCCAAATGTGGGGCTTGATCCCAGGACCCTGAGATCATGAACTGAGCAGAAGGCAGATGCCTAACCGACTGAGCTACCCAGGTACCCCATGTATCAGCCCATTTTTACTACAACCTATAATAAAATACTCTGTGGAATAGTGACTGTTACTCTAAATTTCCAGATGAGGAAACTAGAACCATTAAGTAATTAGCCTAAACTCACACAGGTTGTAGAGTAAATGATTGTAATGTTAGCTGTTAGGCATAGATTAAATTAAAAATGTTGGGTAAGGTTTGGAAACTCTGACCCTAAAGAGGTAAAGGGTGGGAAAGAGTTCAAGATCCCAGTGTTATAAATTTTGGGGATTAGGATTTAAATTGGGTTACAGTGTAATGAAATTTGATGACTGTTTTGCATTTTGAATTTTTACTTATTATTCTCCATCAAAGAAGTGGTATAGCATGGTCACATTAAGCACCAAGGTACAGTCTAGGCTGTCAATGTAGGATGTGTAGCCTTGGGCAAGTTATCAGCCTCTCTGTGTTCTCATCTATAGGGTAGAGATAATCGTACCACCTATGCCATAGGGTTGTTGTAGGGGCTAAATGAAACAACCACATAAAGTACTCAGTCCTTCCATATAGTTTTTATAGTAGTGAACAGTGATTGAAGGAAGAGTTAGAGCAATTTTTCCACTCACTAAAATATTCAAACATTTAAGTGGCAGGATGGTGTCTGAAACAAAACTTTCTCCCCAACATTACATGTGGGTTTCAGAGTAGTTCCATCTGACTGGGTGAAAATGACAATAATGTAAGGTGGATTTCATGTATATGAATGCTTTATTCTGAGTAAGAATTTTTTGGAGAAGAGGCGTCTGGCTGGCTTGGTAGAGCTTGTGACTCTTGATCTCCGGGTTGTAAGTTCAAACCCCACGTTGAGTGTAGAGATTACTCAAAAAAAAAAAAAGAAGAAAGAATTCTTTGGAGAAGAACCTATGAGATCAACCGGCAGACCTGGGAGGTGATTAAGATGGATATATAGAAGCTTTTAAATAAAATGAACAGTAAGACTGACAAACAACTATCTTTAAAATATGTTATTATTAAGAGCAAAAAGGCAAGATATAGAATAGGGTGAGGTATATGCTAACATCTGGGTAAAAAAAGGGGAATAAGTTAAAATATATATTTGCTTGAATATGCACAAAGTATCTCTGTACGGAGATGCAAATGTTGGTTATATTAATTTTCTCCGGCAAAGAGAACTGACAGGCTATTAAATAAGAATGGGAGGGAGACTAGTCACTGAACGCCTTTTTGTAACTTTTGAATTTTGAGCCAGAGGAATATTTATCTATTGAAAAATAATGTAAAATAAAGAAAAAACTGAACATTAAGGAAGTAGAAGTAAACTAACATGGCCCCATGCCAGCTATGGGCCAGATAAGGAAAGTAGATTTTTTTTTTTATCATGGGTAATATATACATGACATAACATTCTTCATCTTAACCTCTTCTAAGTGTATAGTTCCAGCCGGTATTGAGTACATTCGCAATACTGTGCTACCATCACCATCATCCACGTCCAGAATTTTTTCATCATCCCAAATTGAAATTCTGTACCCCCATAGGAAGCTGGAATCACGAACTGAGCAGAAGGCAGATGCCTAACTCAATCTCAAAATAGTTCTGTGAGGGATAGTTAAGGAAACAGGCTCAGGAAGATGGCGTCATTTACCTGGACAGCACAGAGAACCGGCCTCTGCTCTTCCCTACTCCTCCAAATCCCTTGGGCAGTTGGGAGAGCAGTTAGCTTCTAGGGGGAGGTGGGAGTGGGCATGGGGGTGGAGGCTGGCTTTGTGCATGTGCCTCCTGCTGTGTCTTCTAGTACCAGGCACCAGTGCCACAAGTTCTGTTAGGAAACTTGACAGCTTGTGCTATGGTAACCTGTAGGTTATATATGTATAAAATAAAACCATCTGGGGGCGCCTGGGTGCTCAGTCATTAAGAGTCTGCCTTCGGCTCGGGTCATGATCCCAGGTCCTGGGATCGAGCCCCACATCGGGCTCCCTGCTCAGCGGGAAGCCTGCTTCTTCCTCTCCCACTCCCCCTGCTTGTGTCTCTCTCTGTCAAATAAAAAAAAAAAGATTAAAAAAAATAAAACCATCTGACTCATTGCTACTAGACAAAATTTAATTGCCCTTTAGAAGTGCACTGTGCAGAATGCACTGTGAAAATACATCATCATTGTGAAAACGTACCCCACGCCTGGCTTTTAGATGTGCCTTAGAGTTGGTTCATTGTGAATAGATTTATTGGCTGCCACGTCAGGAAGTTATTATTCAAAGGGCACCTGCATGATATGGCACAACAAAAAAGGGAGAAAGGCATGACTCTTCTCCACTGAGAGAAGGAAATTTCTAGCAGGGTAAGCCAAGCTGAACAGATGTGAAAAACAAGAATCAGTTTGATCTTATCTTTGAGCAGCAGAAAACACTGGGCTGAACTGAGAAGCCTGCTGAATTATCTACCATTTTTTGAAATGCATGATTAAATAACCAACAATTATGCTGAAACTACTGCACATTCTTTGCTCATGAAGCTGTGATGTGAGTGATTGCTTTCTACACTACCAGTCACTTTGGTCTTGCTCCCCCTCACTCCCACATGTATGAGAAGTGATTCACATTTTTGTTCTCAGATGGTTACTCAGTAGTGTCGAACATACTATAACACAGCTCAGTAACCCAGGTTATTCTTGGATGTCCACTCCTTTTTTGAGAATCAAAATGTGCATCAGGAATTGAGGGCACTTTGTGCGTGATTGTATTCATGTTTGTTTAGCTATCCCAATGCTTTGAGTCACACATTCAGTTTAGAGGACAAAAATAGCAGCCTCTAATAATGCCTACAGACAAAATCTCTTCATAATTTTTAAGTCACATTCAACAACGTAGGAATTGCAGAGCCAATCATTTGAAAATCTGGTCCCCCACATGGCCCTATCACCCAAAATGGCCAGATGGCAAATCTTCTGGAAAAATAAAAGTGCTTAATTTCTTGAGTTTTGGGGTCCCTGTTTCAAAGGACAGAAAGGGAGGCTGTTACCTGTATCCCAATAGAGAGACATCGATTTTTCTTAAAGTGATCCTTCTTCCTGTCCTCTGTAGTGACAGTGGCTATGGTGGTCGTGGTAGTGACAGTGGCAGGGTTGTTGCTCATGTGTTGACTCGCAGGGCCGTGGATCTGGGCATTTGCAGCTTCAATGGCGGCTGTCAGAGCCTTCATACTGTCCAGGCTCTCCGTGGAGTTGCTCAGTCCAGACTGGCTGATAATATCTCCTCGCTGGCCCTGTCCATCCATGTAGGCATCCTGGGCAGACTCTGTGCTACTCTGGGCTGTGATAGAAATGAAAGGTTTCGTGGTAGTTCTGGGTGGGACTGGAGGTGGTGTCTTCTTATATGTTGTAATGCAAGATGACACTGGAAGACAGTGAAAACAGAGACACTGTGATTTCTGTGTGGGTTTCAGTTTCTGTACTGTAACTAACATCCACTGGAAATCAGGGCACATGAAACACAAAAAGACATTGAGCATGAAAACAAGCCCGTTGATAGAGTAAGTGAGATCCCTGCTTCAGGGGGATAGTTGAGCCTCCTACGAGGGGACGCTCCCACAAGACTGAGGGGAAAAAAGACCGGAAAACACCACCCTCTGAGATGGACGTTTCTGAAATGGAAGTTAATATGAATTAACATAAGATAGCCATCTGTAGAAATCTTCCCAGGCAACAGTACACCCTGAGAGAGAATGTATATACATGTAGATAAGCCCAGCATAGTCTCTGCCTGCTCAGGGAAATACGAAATATAGCTAATGTTAAACAACATAACTCACTGGAGAAGATTGCAGTGGTGGAAAGAAAGAAAAGAGGTTGTGAGCAAGTGTGGTCTGATCCTAACCACAGTGGGAAGTGCCGGGGGGTGGGCACGGCGGCGCACAGAGCTGTCCCAGCTTCCTGGGCTGTTTCTTCCTTTCTTTCTCCCTCCCTCCCATCCCTCCCTCTCTTCCTTCCTGTCTTTGTCTCCCCCCTCTTCCTTCCTTCCTTCCCTCCTCCTCTTCTTCCCTCCTCTTCTCCTTCCCACCTTCCTTCCTCCGGATAGATGCTCACTATATAAACTTCTTTTCTGAAATTTTTTGTTGTTATTTCTGAGCAGTATATTCTAGAGGGAATATACTGCACAAAAGTATCCTAGTGTAGTCTCCCTCGTTTCTAAATCTGTGGTGGGGGGTGGAGGGGTGGGAGATTGGCTTGTATGAGCCTACTCCGTAAAATGCTGTCCCTCAAGGCTACTTAATCAACTCAGGGGCCTGGGTCTGTGCAGAAAGGTGTCCTTTCTGGACCTGTACAGTTTAGTCAAGATCCTCCCAGAGGCTCTGGCTAAAGTAGCCTTTGCTCTTCTCTCCAACTACCTGATCACAACTCTGAGGTTATATGAAGAAGATTTACACACTGGTTTTCAGCTTTCCATTTGTGGAGCATGGTGTACAGAATACAGATCAGAAAGAATGATTACGTTTTCAAGTGAACTCCCTGCCAGCTTTCTAAAGACTTTTGTTAAGTCCTCTTAAAAATGATTCAAACTATTGTGTTTCCGTCACATGCCCCCACCCCCCATGCCTTTCCCATTCACAACAGGCGGTCACTGTTACACCCAATCAGCTACTCCTGACCACACGATCCCAACTCTCGTTTGAGCTGCCACTGGGGCCATCTCACTAAATTGAAATAACTTGCTTTAATATTTGGATGTTTCCTGGGTCACTCAAAGGAAGTGTCCTATAAGGAACAATAAACAGAAGGATCCTATTATGCTGTCCTGTGGTTCCACTGGCTTGTGATTTGGAGTAATTTCCTTAACCGTAAAAGAGATAGGGACCGAAATATTTTGCTACTTCCTAGGGATTACCTGATGGAATATATATGCCCTGGAGGTGGGGGGTAATGTAAACAATATAAATGTAGCCACCACTCAAGTTACCCAGGATGAATGACTGCCCGAGGCTCACCCAGGGAAAACCTTCTACCTAAGCTTAGTGCACGGACTATATATATCCTTCAACAATTTGAACAGAGCTCTCGGCAATTCCCAGCCCAACATCTAGAGTTTTCAGCTAAGGTGCCTCAGAGGTAATGCAAGCAGTGGAGGCTCATGGTGCCCACCTGCAAGGGGCGGAGCCAGGAGCAGAGCCACACTGGTCTCAGGTTCTCCCACTAGGCTACAGCGAAGGCTCGGGCTAAGTAATGCAAACCTGTGCACTGCTGATTTTTCACCTCACCCAATTTAGTTTAGTGTCATGCACCGGACCTACTGAGGTGCTGCCTTCTGCTTCCCAGGAAGGTTTGAAGGGATAACCCTGCTGAGGCCGAGGCTCAGACTGGGTGGGAGGAGGAGTGACCATAAGTAGGATAGGATCAATCTCTTCAAATCTAGTGAAACCAGATCATTTTATTACTTCTCTTAAGTTGTTACAGTGTGAACTCATTAGTTTGTTGAAAATGGATGCTCAGGACATTCGGCCCACTCGTATTCCAAAGAAATGAAATACCCCATTCTAACAAAGAAATGTCTGATCTTTGGGGGTTGTTTATGGCTTCTTGTTAGTTACCCTGTTTCCTCTTTCGTTGTGGACAGTCAAAACTGCACAATGCAGCCAAATAGAGTATTCTTTCTTTTGCTGTGATTTACAGTAGAAATTTTGCCATGATGTGATGTGTGATATGGGAAATAGAGAAAGGAGGGTGTCACATTATTTCCAGTGTAATGATGGGGTTTGGGGACACTCCCCAGGGCCAACTGCAATTTGGTGCCATCTGGTGGCTGTTGTCAGCTCCCCTCCTGGATCAGTAGGGATAACTGAGTACTTAGATCAATGGGGACCTGCAGGACCGCAGCGGCAATGCTAGAAATCCACTAGGGTTAGACTGGACAGGGAGAATCCTGGGGACGTGTCTTTCCCAGTAGGCTGGCCCAACCCCAATGCCCAAAGGAGGTAAGAATTTGAGATTGCCTCACTCGAAGAAGGGAGCTCAACAGAAGACAGGAATCACCTGCTATGCTGTTAGATTCAAGGGGCTTCATTATGAGATTTCACTGCAGTGTGGGGCTTGGCACAAATCTGCCACAGTTATCAGAGTTACACTCAAAGAAGCACCACCCATCAATTATCAAGTAGAAATCTAAAAGGAATTCCAATCTTTAAGAATGCCCTCTGCCAGAGAAGAAAGGACATCCAAGACACAACTCACACTTCCATAACCCCCTTCCTTCTCATGCCCCAATTCTTTCGCATACAAGGCTGCTCCAGAAATCGGACAACCAGATTCCCAATTTCTCCCAGCATCACTCTTTCCTGGTTTTGCAGGCTAAATTCTTTCTTCTCTCCTAAGATCTTTTTATTTTCCTAATTCTACTCTCATGATTCAGCACTATGAATAATTTAGAATCCGCTGGAGTCTGAGTGCCCAGAGGGGTGCAGTAGAGTGAGGTTCAAGGAGATGAAAACACAAGTAAATAAATCTTGTCTGGTCAAGACAGAAAGAGAAAATAAGTGCTTATATGCCATCAGTGAAACACTTCTTTTGTTTGAGAGTAACATTCTCAAAACAGTGATTAAAAAAAGCAAGTGCTCCTTTTATTCAATTGGAACTTTAAAAAGAAAAGATATGATACTTTAACCATTATTATTGCTTTCCTTTGCTTGATGTATTATGTGTTCATTTCAAATAAACTGATTTTTTTCCTTATTTGGATCCCGATGGTTTACTGCCCCAGCTCAAAGTTGGCGAAAGGACTCCTATTTATAAGAAGAGTCAGCAAGAGCAGAGTTACACATTTTGATGGCATCACTTTGATTCAGAGGATACTGCAGAGCATAGAGACCAGAGACCGGCTTTTACATCAAGTTAAGAAATGATTGAAGAAGGAGGAGGGGGAGGGGTGGAGGAGGGGAGGAGGAAAAGGAGAAGAAGTAAAAAAAAAAAAATGAACAAATTCCTATCCTATTTCAGCTTCTAGCCGACGATTCAATATTGTCTCTATTTGCATGGGAAGATAATGCTAGTGTTGAAAGCCTCAGGAAGACCTGTGCCAGGAATTATTTTTTTCTGTAGTGGTGAAGGTTTTCTGAAAAAAAAAATCTAGACTTTCTTATCACTCCAGTTATCTTCTGTGATCAAGAGCACACATGTGTCAGGTGGCCACAAAACAGATGTAGGCTCAAACCCACATGTTCTAGCTTCTTAATAATACATTCTGCCTGGGGCATCAGTCGGATGCTCAACCGACTGAGCTCAGCGTGGAGTCTGCTTGGCCCTCTCCTTCTACTTCTCCCCCTGCTCGCGTTGGTGCTCTCTTTCTCTCTTTAAAATAAATAAATAAAATCTTAAAAAGAGTAAGACCTTCTTATGGGCTAAGCTAATGTGTCATATACCATAAAGCTACGTTTAGGAATTATTTAGCACTTCCTTGTTACTTTTTAGAAACTCTTTCAAATACAACAAGCCCATAAGTACTACAGGTAAAAACCACAAAAGGACAACAAAAGAATTCCAAAATATACATATACATAGAGTCGTACAGTAGTCAAACAACACCTCTTTGATGTAAACAGGTTACCCTCCGACATTATTAACCACAAAGCAAGCTGCGTTGGTCTGCGTTTAGTAGTGGCTGGCTTCTACACAGAAGTCACGGTCAGAGCAATCCTGGATTTGCTGAGTTGTATCAGATGGTCTGCACTTACTGAGCTGAAGACCACCAGAGAGAGAAGGCCTGCCTCAACCCACTGTCTAGTTTCTGTGGAGGGCAAAGGTCTCTTGATTTGGGTAATTTGGTCTGGCCAACAACAGTTTACAAGCCCTCGAAAGAAGATTAAAAAAATCAAATGGGGTTAAGAGTGGGGGTGCTGGAACTGGCTTTTATCAGCTTGCTAGCTAATTTTGCACATCTCTTCCCAGGTCTCTGTTTAGTGACATTTCATTGATAGCTTGAAACTGACCTTGGTGTGAATATTTAACACAATGGATATTGGGAAATACTACCCCTGCCTGAGAGAGCCAGCTGTGAAGCACTTCCAGCACACCTGTATGCATAGCATGGCACTGGTCAAAGTGTGGTCCACAGACAGGTGTCAAGTCACAAACTATTTGATGAGTGTATGTTGAGATATGCCATGAAAATTGAGAGTAAACTTTTAGAAACTTTTACAGCAATTCTAAAGACTATTTCATTGGTTGAACCTAACAAAAAGAAGACCAGGGCTTGGTTTTGGGTGCCTCGTTTTTTTAATTTCCTTTATCCAGTGATTCATTTTACTGCATTTTTACCAAAATATCGATCTGCAGCAGATTGGACACCAAACAAACTGGTCCATCCCCAGAGATAGTGTGAGAAGCACTGACAGGAAACATTTGCTAATC